CGTAGTCAATGCTACGGCTTCCTAGCTCCAAAGCGGTACCCAGCCAAGGGCCAGCCCTGGTATTTCTGATTAGGGCATTCCCATAGGTGTGGACGGAACGCACTGCGAGATAAGCCCGGGGTGCCGCACAGCCCTGCCTGCCCCAGATAAAGGGCGTCGGCTGGCTTGTTTGGAGAGGGAGGGGGCTTTTGCTTGTTTTTGTCTTCTTTTTAAAAAACGCTTGTGGCCCCACCAAAGAGCGTTCCAGGGTCTAGAACAGGGCTCTACCGTGCTGGCCACGGGTGGGGCTGAGTGAGCCATGGCCCACCCACTTTGTACCCAGGCTCCCCCACCAGCTTGCCATGCACTCCAGCTGGGAGCAGGGCCAGAGCACCAGGGCTTACCCCCCCTTACTACCCCGCCCTCCATTTTTGCACCCCCCTCCCCGAAATCTGGGCCCATCTAAGTGGTCCCTTCTGGCTACGCCAGCACGGTAGAGCCAAGGGGGGCTGGCGCTGGGATTCTTCCATTTCAGGGCCAAAAAGGGATAAGAGTGATCTGCAAGTCCGGAGACCTGTCTCACCTGGGCCAGAGACCCGCCCCCAAATCATCCCTAGAGCTTGTAGAAAGCAAATCCCGTCTTGATTTTAAGCACCGACATCGCAGCCGGGGTAAATCATCCCAACGGCTTGCAGCTCGCTCTGTTACCGACATGCCCCGTCCTTCCAGCCGGAATTTGCCTCGCTCTGACGTCCAGCCATTGGAGCCCGTTAGACCTTTCTGGGCTAGACAGAAGAGCCCATTCCGAAGTCCTCGTTCCCCGGTGGGGATGTGGAGACTGGGGCGCGTTGAGTCGGTTGCTGTACGGTGGGATTTCTAGCACTTTCATCCTTTTCGGGGCTCTCCCCTCGCCTGGGTAGCAACACCCTTCTGGAATGCTGGGCCCCCCAGCTGGACACAGGATTCCAGCTGCGGGTGCCCCCTAGCCGAAGGCTCCTCCTCGGGACTCTGCTGTTTATGCACCCAGGGTCCCATCAGCTGGTGTGACCAGAGCGTCCCACAGGGAGCTCATGTTCAGTTGACTGTCGGCCACGGCCCACAAGTGTTTTCAAATCCCAGCTCCCTGGGGAGAGGACCCCAGGCTGTAAGTGTGGCCGAAGCTCTTTGACACACCCCCCCTTTGCAGGAGCCCAAGTGACCCCGTGATCCGATCGCTCTGTATCTATGGGGTGTCTCCTCCGTCACTGGCCCCTTCCCCCTCGGTGTCTTTGCACCCCCTGCGACCTTTCTCAGCCATCAGGTCACTGATGAAACTAACCCTCGGAAGGGCCAGGGGCTGGTCTGAGCTGATCCCCATCAGAAACACCCCCGTGGGATTCAGCCTGCCCATTTACAATGCCATGCTGAGACCTGCCAGCCGGGTTTAGGACTCGTGACGCAGGCCGCAGGCTGTTTATATTGTTCTGGGTTTCTAATGCACGTTTCCTGGGGGGCCAAGTCGAAGGCTTGCCCAAAGCAAGGCCCAGCCAAGCTGCATTTGTAGTTTCCAAGGGCTCCCCAGCTGGCAGTGCCGTTGGCTGGCATGATGTGGCCCTTGCTCCTGGAGGAAGCGGGTGATGCTTCCCAGGTTCCTGGCTGGGACACGAGTGGGGTGCTGGACAGCCTGCCGGCGTCCCCCAAAGGCACTGGCATGGCTGCTGTCCTCTGTGCGGCGTGGCCAGTGAGACGGGGCCGTCCCTGATTCCTTGGAAAAGGGCCGGAGGTTCTGTGACATCCTCCAGGGAGAGCTCCAGAGACCGGCCGAGGGGACCTGGGTGCAAGACACGTCCCCAGCTGGTGTCAGTCCGTTCTAGCTCCCTGAGAGCCAGACACCAGATCCCCAGCGGCTGGCGTTCATGGGGCAGCGCTCCGGCTGATGCCCATTGGCACGGGCACCGTGGGACCCAACGGGACCCTCTCCCCAGTTGGTGTCAATCCGTGCAGCTGCCCTGCAGACAACGGGAGCAGCTGGTGGGAATCAGTGCCACTCCCTGGGCACCTCTTGCCGCGAAGGGCCTGGAACCTTTCCAGAGCAGGGGAGGTAGCGCAGGCGGTGGCGCAGCTCTGAGCTGTGCTCCACCGGAGCCTTGCCCTGCCCGGCTGGGCTGCTGTGTCGGATCCCTCGGGACAGCTGAGAGCTCGGGCAGGTCCCATGGGGAGGCAGGAAGCGGCGGCACAAGGCTGAACGGCTGAGCCCCTGGGTGCCACCAACAGGCAGGAAGTGTTGGTGACAGAAGGGCCCCCCGGCCTGGCCGTGGCAGACCCGATCCAGCCCCATCGTCCGGGTAGTCAGGTTCTGAGACTGCGGGGCGCCTCGTGGCCCCCTGGTCCTGGACCTCCCTCCTCTGGGGGTGGGAACCATCTTCTCCTTCCCAGCCCCAGATCCCTGCTGGCCAGTCTGTCGCCGCGTGTCCTCCTTCCAGCCCGCGCTCCCTCCCGTTGTCCCCACGCGGGCACAGAAGGGCCTGTGTGATGCGCCCCAGCGCGGGTCAGGTTCTGAGACTGCGGGGCGCCTCGTGGCCCCCTGGTCCTGGACCTCCCTCCTCTGGGGGTGGGAACCATCTTCTCCTTCCCAGCCCCAGATCCCTGCTGGCCAGTCTGTCGCCGCGTGTCCTCCTTCCAGCCCGCGCTCCCTCCCGTTGTCCCCACGCGGGCACAGAAGGGCCTGTGTGATGCGCCCCAGCGCGGAGCGGGTGCGTCGCACCTCGCCTCCAGATGGGGGCACCCTCCGTATTCCTGGGGGAGGGGAGCCGAGGGCTTTGGAGTGTGGAAGGGGGCTTGGGGCCGGGGAAGAGGGCTGGGGTTCGGGATTACGCGCGCCAGCTGGGGGCGGGGTGAGCTCTGGGTTAGGGCAGGGACGAGCGGTTTGGGGTGCAGTCTCCACAGGGTCTGCGGCCGAGAGAGAGGACTCCCCACAGCTCTCTCGCCCCACAGCAGCACTGGGGCTGGAGGGGAGAGGTGCCTCTCCCCTGGCCCTGCAGGGCCATGCTGGGGCTGGGGGCAAGTCCGGGTACATCCGGGACAGGTCCATGTTGGGGCTGGCTGGCAGAGGCGCCTCTCCCCACTGCAGCCCTGAACCCCTGTGTGGGGTTGACTAGGCAGGTGTGCAGCCCACAGGGAGCTTAGGCGCCAGCGTTGGGAGCTTCCTGGCTCTTCACCCTGCCTGGGGCTCCCAGCCTGGCTACAGAGAGCGATCGGATCCCCTCCACCTGCACTGCCCAGCTCTTCCCGTCTCCTCCCACCGTATCGGCCTTACAATCCCCTGCCATCCCACTAGCTCATCTCTGGGCCTTTTCTAGCTGCAGTTCATCGGCCTCGGCCCAGGGGACCTGCTTGGGATCGGTAGCGCAGACGCCACCTCCCGCATGCCCAGCGGTGAAAGTGACGTCACGTTCCTCACAGGCGCTGTCCTGTCGCAGCCCGGGGCCCTGCCAGCTCTGGGAATAGCTCCCTGCTGGCTGTTCCCGCAGCTCAGCCAGCTCTTGCCGGAGCCGGTCACCAGGGCACCCCCGGTTACTGTCACCTCTGCGTGCGCCTCCGACTCGAGGTGGAGGAGAGGGGCGGGACGGTTGGGTGCCGCGGGGAGGCCAGACTGGCCCTTTCTGCCCGTGAGATCTGTGCAGCCTTCCCCTGCCACCTTCCCTTTGGGGGGCCAAAGCGGGAAAACGAAGGGCTCCGTTTCCCAAGGGAGTCTGGGAAGCCTGGCCGGGCTTTGGCGTCCGCCGTGCCGCCGATGCCACGAGAGGCCCCCAACCCTTTCCGAACCGTCTCTTGCTTCCCGGCAGCTATAGATAGTAACCGTGCCAACGGGAATCTTTCAAATGACCCGCACGGGCGTGCGGCGCCTCCCTCCCCCCCCGCCCGGAGCATCGGACAGCTGGGCCGATAGTGTCTGAGCCAAGCTATTCAGAGCTGGGCTACTTTTAGAGGGGAATTTCCACCCCAGGCACGCTGCAAAGAGCTCTTCCGCCCACCAGGCCGAGGGGGGGTTGGAGGAGGGGGGCTTGTGTGCTCGGAATAGCCGGGGCTTGGCTCCAGCTGCTCCGGGCGATACCGCCCCTTGCGCTATTCGGCAAGATGGACGATCATACCGTGGAGCTGTGCCTGGGGAACGCCTTCAGCACAACCCCCCATCCAGGGCCCTTTCGCTCCCCGCTCAGCTTTCAACCGCCTGCCGGCTTTCGGAGGAACGCCCGGGTTCCCGTCCTGAGTATCTGATTGCACCGGGAAGCAACGTTCCCTCTAATCTTTTCCATTCCCTGCGTGGAACAAATTTTTAGGCGCACCGAGGCATGTGCACCACCAGTAGAAACAAAACCTCGCCGTGGGCACTCTCTGATCAGCTGGGCGGCACGGGAATGTCTCGTGAGCGGCTCCATACGCGCACGGGTTACAGGGGACGCTGCTGAGAAGACTCTTGCACCGTCTGGGCCATGGGCCATCAGCCCCTCTCCCTTCGAGCCGCCCTCCCCTGCGTGAAGTGGCCAAGCTGAGCAGTGAGGGCAAGGCCACACTTTTACCTCCCGGCCAGCTTTTCCTCCCCTCCCCCTGCGTTCAGTGCCCTCCGTGTGTACCTGCTGCTTTGCAATCCCGCCCTCACCTTGCACCTGCCCCCCGTTCGGAATGAGCGCTGAGCGGTCTGCTCCATCCCATGGTGCATTGCTCAGCCGCTGCTCTGCAGCCCTTCGGGGACTCAGAGTTGGGGGGAGCCCGCGATCTGGGCCAGGGGA